CTCTCCGCACATTCCGCTGTATACCTGCAGCAATTAGGATTTGAGGTGCGTCGCACAGCTACCAGCTCCTCTAGCTCACAACGGCAGCACAGCTGATATATCGCTGTGAGCTGGCATGAGGGGGGCAATGCCTGACAATCTTTTTAGCTCAAGTTCTGGAGGCAGCTGCCTATCCCTCCAAGCAGGACAAGAGCACGTCCATAGGCTCTCTCAATTTTGACCCACAGCCACGGCTGACGTCATCTGCCCAGGAATATTAGGAGATCTGAAATGCATGCGGATGCACACTGCACATGTGCCTGCGAGAGCCACAACGGCTAACACATGTCTACGCTTGCCAATGCTGGCAAACTGTCTCTGAGGTCAGACGACACTCTCCCGGCTGTCTCCGCTGGTGCCGATCTCCTGGCCTGGCTGGACCAGTGCCCCTATACGCCCGCACAAGCACAGTTTAGCTCCACATTGCAGCTTCAATATGACAAAGGCCGAAGCATTTTTCTGATTCGCAGCCGGGTTCAAGATCACCGACGGCACTAAATAACACTAGGCTGACACTGCAGTTAGCTTAGCCCAGGGCACCAACTTTTCTACTCTTGCGCACTTTCTTCGCCTCTCCCTCTCTCCTAAGACTAGTCACGGAAGTGTCGCCCCAAGCGCACCGGCTTTGGGAATGGCAGCCACACCGACTACGCCGAAGCCCTTTTTGGTGCTCAGCGACAGCACCTTGCAACACTTGCTATGGCAGGGGGCCAATGGCCAATCATACGGTATCATTGACATGGACCGGGGTGCAATGCACGGCTATGTCCCTCACAACTGAGTACACGGGTGCGCAGCCACCCAACCCTGCAGTGTTGGAGGTGCTGGCCTGGCAATTCATCCGCGTCCTCGGAGAGACGCGCACTTTCCCAGCAGAGAGCCAAGCACTGATCAACTTCCTCCGGTCAGTGTGCGCATGATCCCCATTCGCCAGAGTTTATTGCCCCACAAGCAGAAGTCCTATGATTGGATCGCGGAGCTCAGGGACCAATACGGCCTAGGCCGGTACGAGCTCAGCGATGAAACCATCATGAGCCTCCAAGGCCCCCATCCTCTGGTCGATCAAATCTACAACCAGAACAACTGTCACTTTCGGCCGGTAGTGGCGGATCGAGTAATCGGCTTGTTGGTGTCTCGCTCAATTCGCACGATGAGACGCTTGAAGCCCAACGCGATCCACGTTCTGGTTGTCTGTTCATGGAACTGCAAGGGGGACAATGTCCACAAGGAGATGAATGCCACTTTCGACCTTTGCAACGCGGAGACACTGTCGGAAGTCGGAGCGGTGGCCGCTCGCCACACGGGAAAGGCATGGGCCTTTCGGCCATTCCTTGAGCCGAATGCAAGTCGCCGGCCAATGCCCCGCACCTTGTTTCAGACATACATGCATGATGACCACCCCGGTCCCAAGAGCATGTGCCGGGAATTCCTGGCCGATTTCGAGCGCACCTTCTGCAACGATGAGATTTTGCTCGAGACCCTTCAAGTGCACGCTGGAGACAGCGGTGAAAACTTGATCAGAAGCCTGAGGCAGCCTGCTCACAAGGCTGATGTCTTCAGATACGTCTACCACTATTATCATGGTGGCCTGTACCTGGACATCAAGATGGCGCTGCGAATGCCCTTCGATGCAATGCTGGGGCTCCTCGCATCAGAATGGGACAATGTCCAAGTTCGCAAGAGCAAAGAGCTGGGGCACTGCCCAAATGGCGTGGAAGGGGTTCTGCCCCGGGAGTACCTGATCATGGGCATTGGGGTCAAAAACGACCACATTTTCCAAGGCATCATCTATGGCCAACCGCGCCATCCATTGATTCTCTGCGCTATCAACCACGCTTTCAGCAGGCAGATCCTCACATCGGTCGCCAATCTTGACTATGATTTTCTGCAAGGAGCTCTGGAAGCTCCTCTCCAATGACATGGGCCACACCCCAGTGCCGGGATGGAATCAGACGAAACAATTTGGACCGGTGTATCTGCTCCGTGAGCGCCATTCGACCCAGCTCACCAAATCCAAGGAGCTTGAGTCCGATGGTCACTACTTTGAGACCAGCAGGCAGGTTCGCGTTGCCTTCACCCGCTGCTGGAGCTGGCGCAAGGGCTTCAAGGGAGACCCCAGGGCAGCTCAACGAAATGAAAATTCTCTCATGCAGAGCGTGCCCCAAATAATCTCGGAGGTCATTGAAACCGGTGGCGCTGCCTCTGCAGCACCCCATTCAGCACAGGCGGGAGCAATGCTCACCAATGCAGGCGTCCGAGTTGTCGGCGAGACCGTGCTCAGCAGCCTTGAGCGAGGTGACTTTGACGCGATCATGGCCGCGGTCGAGAAGGAGCCGCAGTACAACGGCATCTCGGCCGAGGCTGTCCTTCGCAACATCCCCCGCGGCCTGTGTCTTCACCCTGAAGACCAAGACTGGCTTTCCTGCCGCTACTGCGAGCGCAATGGCAGGCGCTTGAAGTTCCCCAATGAGTTGGGGGTAACACACCACTTCATGCAATCCAAGCATGACCGATCCGTGCCTGAGCCACCTGGACCGCCACCACGCAACAGCATGTGGTCACAGCGCCCGGCAGAACCTGCTGACCCTCCCTCAGCAGCAGCTACAGCAGAGGCAAGCCAGGCCCCACCCCCACCAGAACCCACGGCGCAGTGGCGACCCACAGCGTCGGTGTCTAAGGCACGCTTTGGGCTTGGACTCCCTCCCATTCCGCCAGGCCCTAGCCCCCCCGAGCAGGGCCACCGGCCTCTTGCCGTGAAAGATGAACAAGGGGTCAATGACCAGCAGGCAGAAATCAAGGATGAGTCACCGGCCACTGCCGCCCCCACGCTGGACTGGGCAGAAAACACTGTGGGAACACCAGACTCTCCTATGCCTCCGGCGGGTACACCGTCGCACCAGAAGTCTGCTGGATCTGGCCATTTCGGGCCATACTACGACCCCGACGACCCCCACCACGACACAAGCGAAACCGGCTCCAGCTAGCCGACTTTCCACCAAGGAGACCATCCCGCAGACTCCAGCCCCGGGCACCACCACCTCCTCTCCCCTTGTGGATGCAGGGCCCGGTCACTACGACCAAGCTGGTGGAGTATAGTGTCAACCCCTCTTCGGAGCAAGAGGCCAGTCAGCTGCCCAAGCGAGATCAGATTGTCCACATATGCCAATCTGACCAGATGCTGGAGTGGGTTCACGCCTTCGCGACCATCTCCATTATGAAGGAGCAGGCCATAGTGGGCGGCCTTACTGCCTCCGAGCAGGTCTACCTGTGGACCAATCGGTTTCGGGCACTAGGAAAAGTGCCATGGATCTTTGCCCCGATCAAGAAGGTCGCCACTGACAAGGATGCCAACTGGCTTGACATCACGCAAGCGCGGCTAATGGTCGGGGCCAATGGCCAATCAATTCACACTATCAATTGGTCAAGATGCTCGCTACACCGAGCTCAAGTCCACCACGACCTACTATGGCATAGTGCACGCCCTCTTCCAGAAAATGTGGGATCACTCGGACATGAATGCATTGCTCGAAACGGACGACAACTTCGAGATTGTGGCCTCTACCTTCAAATGCATTTACGACCAGTCCTCCAGAAAGAGTGGAGGCCAAAATCGTGCCATTTTCTACCAGCCCCGGGACGGACAAATTGTCCGCAAGCTTCGCATCGAGCATAACAAGGGCGACACGGCCACCTACCAATGGCACCGTCAGCGCGAGCTGCGCGAGCAGCGCGAACAGCGGGACAAGCGCTCTGGAGAAGAGACACAGTCTCACACAGACAAGCGCCACAGGGACGGTGACGCCTGGAACCGAGGAGGTTGGTGGAATCGGGGATCGGACTCCGGGGCCAGTGGCAGCCGCTCCTGGCATCAGTGAGTTCCGCCCACAACCAATGGTGCCAATGGCAGACTACGCAATAAACCGCGGAGGCCATGCCTGCTTTTCCTTTTCGTCTCTTCCGGAACGGACTGACAGCCTTTCTGCCGGATGCCGCAGCTGTCAGTTGGAAAACAAGCCCTAGCCTGCCGCCGGTCGCGTTACTGCTGCTCTGCTATCCGCAATGCAGAATCACTATCCATGTTCAGGTACATACAACAATCTGAAGCTTGATGATGCCTGGCAGCCTGCAAACTCGCTTTGGCTGATTACTGCCAGTTAGTTCAAAGCCTGTAGGCCGCCAACATCCAAAGGTCTTTGACCTGGGCTGATCAGCTATAGGGTCTGAGTCAGTTTCACGCGGCAATCGCCCGCTATGTGCTGAGCCCGCTCGCACAGCGTTCAATTGAAAAATAGTAGTAGTAGTAGTAGTAGTAGTAGTAGTAGTAGTAGTAGTAGTAGTAGTAGTAGTAGTAGTAGTAGTAGTAGTAGTAATAGTACTCAGAAACGGTCATCATAATAGTCGTAGTTGCAACAGTAGTAGTGGTAGTGATGATGGAAGTGGCAGTGGTAGTTGTGGCAGCGTAGTCGTGGTGGCGGCGGTGGTGGTGTTGGTGGTATTGGTAGTGAAAGTGGTAGTGGTAGTGGCACAGTGGGAGGGGGAGTTGAAGCGGTAATGGTAGTGGTACTTCGTGGTTATAAGTACGAAGTAACTAAAGTATGAACCAGGAAAGTAGTACATCAGGAGCATGAAGTAGAAGTAGTAGTGGTGGTGGTAGTAGTAGTCGTAGTAGTAGCCGTCGTCGTAGTGGTAGCGGAAGTGCTAGAAGCAGCAACAGCAGCAGATGGCAGCAACAGCAGTACCAGTAGCCTTCGTCGTGATAGTCGCAGGCAGTAGTGCTAGTAGCAGCAGTAGTAGCAGAAATTGTAGTATTGGTATGGTTTTTGCAAAACAAGTCTCGTGTTCTGGCAGCAACAGGAAGCTGGATCTCCTTGGTTCGGGATTTCTTTTCGATCTCCGAACTAGTCAGCTATGTCGAGTAGGTAACACAAATAGAGATTGGGTGACATCGGGTGACGACGAACATGAGCGGTCAGGGGTCGAACTCGAAGCAAGCCGAATTCTGCCTGCAGGATCGCAAACATGTGGTGTATCAAGACCTCATAGCACTCCTCACCTTGGCATCGCAGGTTCCGGGATCTTTTGCTGCTGTCAGCATGCCTGAGCACAGAATTGTCGGACAAGACTCTGGCCAGGTTCAGCAGGATCGCCTGACCGCGCATGAGGCTCGGGCCCGCGAGCGCGCCCAGAAGCTCAAAGAGCAGGCTCGGCATGGCTCGGGGTGCTGAGTTGTATTTGCCGTGGCACTCGTCTGAATCTGACGATGGTTTCGCAGGCATCACTGTTGACGAAGTTAACGCGCGCAGTTTCGAAGTTGGCCGCCAGGACCCGCGTAGTCAGAGATTGCACGACTTCCTGTACAAACCAGCACTGCAGACCGTAGACTTTCTGGGTCCTCTTCTATCCACAAGCAGCTTTCACATGGCGCTGTCGAGGATAAATCTCTGGGAAGATATGATGAGGCCTTGGGTTGGAGCGGGAGCCTGAGCTGAGAGGACACCAGATGACTGGGTTGCTTTGTAGCACGCAGAGGCCAAGCCTTCTCGGTGAGTCGGTCCCCAAAGGTGCGCAGCTTTTTGAATCCATGCCTCGTACTGTTGTCAGTTGGGCGTAAAATTTGGTTAGAAGTTGGGATGGTTCTCACGTCAGGAAGAGCCTGTAAGTACGCATGGCCATTTGATCCAGCTTGCCTCCCGGTGTCTCGTGTTCTACTTGTGAAACCTGTGAGGTTTTGATCCAAAGTCATTGTTTTTCAAGTTTCCTTACCGACAGGATCCAAGTAACTACTTGGGCATCTGCTCTACTTATGCTTTGATCAGGCTGCCTCCTGGAGCTTCCGAATGGAAGTTTTTCGGTCATGTGGTGATCTGATGCTTTGTGTCAGCATACAGCTAGGCGCGCATCGCATACAGCTCTGCATTTGCAGACAGTCTTCTGTGGAGTTGTGGTGGATCCTCACGTTCCGAGATGTTCGTGTGCCGGGTTCCCTTCGGATGACTGTGCCGCCACTGCAATGTGGGTTTCATTGCTCTAAGTTGGTCGAGGCAGCAACAGTGGAATTGGATTGATCTGCTCGCAAGAAACTCAAGTAGGCTTTGCGCGGCTTACCAGTTGGAGGACATGTACACTGTACACACATAACAAGACCTCCCGGCACGCTGCGCACAGGTGCCCGACGATGATAATGAGACGCATCTGTGAGATGCGAGCCCTTTAGGCTATTTATGTACAAATCCCTTTCACACTAGTATTGTTGCCAAGCAGTCGCAGGAGCAGGAAAGTCTTTGCAGATGTGCAGGGGTGCATCTCGTGACAGCCTAAAGAGGGCAGAAGGAAGGTAAACAACTCCATGAAAATCGCTTTTGGCTCAGGTCACAAGTCCAGCCGTTAGCAAGATTCCAGGTGTAGAGCTCACAGAAGACGGCGAGTCTCAGATCGAGGTTTCTGCCGAAGAAGTGTTTGAAGCATTTTTTGGTTTTCAGGCAATCTAATTCCTTTCAAGATCCAACCGGCGAGATTCGCTTCGTCCAAGAACCCAGCTTACATCGGCAGCTCCCATGTCCGTAGCTTCTCATGACAGATGGCTTTGCGGAAGATGAGGGTCCAGGCTGGTAGTGCAAAGTATTGACATTGCACGGGGCAGAGCCGTTAACAAGGCTGTCAGGAAGCGGAGGAAGTTAGCGACGCATTGTTCAGCGTCGCCTCGGATGCTGCAGCTTCCGGTGTTCCTCGGGTCCTGTGCTGCGAGGCCAGTCATGCTAAAGCCGATGCAGGTAGCAGCTGAGCGGTGCACTTGTGAGTGTAGCCCGACGGAATTCAACCGGAAAGTCGCAGGCGGACGGCTCTCTTCCGGAGGACGTCTACGCCTTCCTTGGAGGAAAGAGCAGGCACTGAGACTGCCAAACTGAACTGCTGCTGCTTTTTCCCAGTTTGCTACACAGTTGCCTTCGATAACGTGGCACTTCTTTTCGCATGGCGGCAGGCTGGTGGAGCCTGCGTTTCGGCGGCATGCCATCTAGATCTGTCGCATGTAGTTGTTCGGGAGGTTGGTCAGCCTTTTTCTTTCATGCTTAATTGATCTTCGGTGGAGTCTGGTATCGTGTGCCGCGAAGTGTAAAGTGGTGAGGGCTGCACTCCGACCTGCAATGCCTCAGGTCCTGCACGGCCATCGCAGCTTCATAGGATGTTATGGCAGCGGCCTGGCATACTCTTGACTTTAGGTTTTTTCACATTCGGCATTCGCGATCACCTGCCGAGTACGTGGCAGTAGGATCGAGGCATCTTTGCGCAGTACATTTTCATAGACGCAGCGAGACTTTGCCCACGTCGATCAGGTCCTGCCCTTGGCCTGCGAGTGTTGAATTCGCTCTTGCGGCCAGCGTCCTGCGACATGATGTGGCTTCCCAAGTGGTGTGAGTTGTGAGCGTGGCATGCTCGTGCAGTCTGCTTCTCCTTCAGCTTGAAGTATCCACCACAGTTTGTTCGGGCATCGCAGTCAGCTAAGGACGGGTGCTGTGCGTCTGGCGCCGCAACGGCTGTTGCGTCTTGGAGTGTCTCTTCTTGAGTGCTGCGAGGACAGGGTGCTGGCCGTTTCGTCGAATTTGTATGTATTTGTTTCGTTATCCGGACGCCCGGATGGTGACGCCGGTCGTGCAGATGCGAGCTTGAGCGTATGCCCCGAAAGTGACGTTGCCTTTTAAAGCAAGGCAAAGAGAGCTTCCTCGCAGCGCAGGCTGTGCAGGACGATCAGCCACAGTGGCTCGATTCCATAGCTGAGAAGCCCATTGAAGCTTGGCAGTGTTTTCTTGCCTCCGGGCTTTGCATGCATTCCGACGTTTGGGAGAAGGACCGGATCTCGCAAACCGAGCTGTCGTAGCTGCTGCAGTTGTCCAAGGATCCGTTTGCATTGGCCGACAATGCATCTCGTCTTTGCCTGTGAGCGAGCTCTGTCTGAGAGGACCTCTTTCCCGCACAACAGCCCAAGCCATGCAGTGCCATGCAGTGCTTTGCGAGTTTGCCTCCAGTCCGAGCCTTGGTCTTCTCGCGTTCTGAGGCACTGCTTTGCACCAGCGAGCCGCTGAAGCAGTGCTTGGACCGGGTGGATGAATGCTTGTACCGCTGCTGGGCAAGATTTCCAGAGTCTAAAGAACTCAGTGCGCCGAGCATGCGTGTGTATACCATCCCTGTTATTAGCAGCTATGTAAACAACGTGAAGTGTGGCGATCTTGGTCTTGGCCACACTAACAAAGATATGGAGCTGGAGTGGAAGGAGTTGTACCTGCGAAAGGTAACGATGCGCGCGTTGGATCGTAGCCTGGGCATCTGTATCTTGTTGTCATGTTCTTGAAATTAAAACAACTCTTCAGGTCATGTTCTTGAAATTAAAACAACTCTTCAGGCAGTGCTTAAGAGAATTGGTCTGAGCAAGCCATTCAGTCATGGAGAGTTTGCGTGTTTGGTACAGGTACATGTCAGTCCAACTTAAGGTGTGCTGTCATGATCTTTCGATCAAGCCCTGAGTCCCACAAAGAGTACACGGGCCAAAGCAACAGAGTCGCATCACCGGCGATGTCGCAGGTCAGAGATCCGCTATCAAGTGTCTGTGTGTATGAGTGTGTCCTCGCGCCATGGGCCATGAGTGCAGCTGAGGTAGATCAAGAGATGCAGGCCCAGGCCCAGGCCGGATGTGAAGCCCACGGGTCAGGGCCAAACCTTCATCGTCCTTGTTCGCTGCAAGGCCAGGCTGGTACACTCAGCCACTTTATCCTGGAGCTGACAGCTGCCCATGCGAATGAAATGGGTGCGCTCACCGTGGTCTTCCTGGCCTCGCTGGCCTCCGCCGGCTTGTCCAGGACTGCCCAGGCACCTGAGCCCTTACGCCGACATGCCGAGGGACTCTCCGGCTGCACTTACAGAGGCATTGTGTTGTCCTTCTTCTACCGCTTCCCAAGCCTGCGAAATCTAAGGTTTGAGACAGATTTCCATGGTTATCAACCGCCCAAGAACAGGCTTTGGCCTGACATCAGATTCTTGATGCAATATGTCGCGCGTATCCCCTGCCAGTCGGACTGCATTCCGTGCGTTTTCTCCGACTCGATTCAGGTTACAGGTTCCAGCCTAGATCCTGGAGCCACCCTGCTGCTCCTGACGCCCAAACCTGCGGCATCGGTGCACGAGTCCCTGGCAGCGAACATCGCTGCTAGGTGTCTCAAGTTGCAAGAGGAAGCAGCTGCCACGAAACCCGAAGGCCTTTGCAGCAATGTGTTGGGGGGATGTTACGGCAGAGCATTCCACGTCTGGAGGAGGCCAGGGCATTGCCATCAGCCCGGCCCTGGCAGTGTACAAGCAGTGGCTTGGCGATGCGGGCTGCGCCGCTACGACTGACGAGGGAGCATGTTCCCGCCCAGGAGCGTGTGGCCCAAACAGGAATCTGCAAGTGGCCCCTCACTGGTGGCATCGCAAGAGGCACAAAGGGCAAAAGCGGACCAAGAGCCTTCGACTTAGCCATGCCCGTTGTGGTCTTTGCTCTCGTGTCTGTCCAGAGGCAGTCCAGACTTCAACGGGCCCTCTGCATCGCATCGTATCGCATACCCCCGCGACACCACGGACGATAGAGACCTCCATGTGGCAAAGGATTACGGACTGGGAGAGCTTCAATGTCACTCGGGCAGATTACCGGGCTTGCCGCCTCTTCGCACTTTCACATTGCCGACGAAACTAAGGTGGAGACCTGGATAAAGGATGCACAGAAAAGTGGCCGAAGCGAGGCCGAAAAGGTGTCCGAGTTGACCAAGATGGTCGGGCAGATGCAAGCCCTAATTCGTACCATGGCGGGCCATTTGAAGGTGGGGGCTAGGGTGGCTAGATACGCGTGGCAGCGAAGTTTTTCACTGCCCTGCCGTGGAAGGTGTCTGCCACGCCAATTAGTAGCAGCTTTCGACAGCGTGTCGACGCATCGAGCGGGGATGTCACATCGCCCCGGGTGGCACTCAACAGCCCCTTTGCCACACCATCTCGGCAGATTCATAACATGCCGCTCCATGCACTGGCTGCTTTGATGCAGCATAAAGCTACGGAGGGAGACTGCGCCCCATGGCAGAGACTGTGACATGTTCCCGAGCATTGCCGAGCCCCCACCCAGGCTTCCACCGGCAATTTGGCTGCGTGCTCTCCAAGACACCCACAGATCCCACCGTCACTGAGCCTGAGCCTTTTCCCGCTGAGGCAGCATTTTGTCACATGTCACAAGCAAAAGCCCCAGATGCGACTTCCGCCCGAGGCGGTGAGGAGCATTCGTCTCCCTTGACCCGCAGCTGCTCTGCAAACTACCCTGTAGGCGCTGTGCAAGAATGGTGCCTGTCGACAGCCGTTGCCGCTGGCCCTTTTCGCCACTCGTGAGGCTCTGTTTTGTCACACAAGGGCAGCGGCCTTCTGAGCATCGTGGGCGAGGCATTCAGGGCAGGGGGCCGCCCCGGGGCAGCAGGGGCAGCAGGCAGCAGGGGGAAGGGAGCTCGGAATTGCATGTCAGCTTTAGCTTTCGGGACAGCGGCTAGGTTGAAGGCCAGGCTCATACAGTCCAGTGTTTTGGGTCAAGAGTTGCGCGTGACACGGTAGTAGAGTTGATGAGCTCAGGGGGGTGCTGGCATTCATCAAGTCCACGTGTAAAAGAGTTGAGGTGTCCCAGTTTCTGGATGAGGCTCTCAGCCACTACTGACTGGACGTGACTAGTTTCTTGGTGTGATTTCGAGTCTGTCGTATAAACGGTTTGAGGATTGTTTCTAACTTTCGGGAGTCGAGCGGTGTTTGTTCGGGTTTGTAGCGGCGGGAATCGATGAACAGCATCGGAGGAATGTGCATTTTGCCCGATTTCTTGATCGCGGAGATTTGGGATGCCCTCAATCCCAGATACACACTTCAACTTCAAAGTAGGACAAGTTTACATCCCTCAAATGTTGGCCCCGGTGAAAGTTACCACTCTCGGTATTCAGCCCGGTGCTGTTGTTTGTCGCTGGTCGTCAGCCTGTTAAACTTCATTTCCACTTGGGAGGTCCAGTCACCAGTCGCGATGAAGAGGGACCTGTCTCCTGCGGAGGTTCGCCATGTGTGTGGGGCCCAGCGATGTTTTCGAGACCCAGAGTCATTCGCGGCCAAGATTTCGTCGAGGCAGTCGCTGGCACCGCCACCCAAAGCGAACCAGCGGTCCCAGCCACGTTTGCTTCGGGCTCCCCTCTTGTGCTGATACGACGATACGACGTGCGGTGATTTTGCAGATCCGAAGGCAGAGCCGCAGCTCCGCGCCCTACTGGATGAGTCCGTGGCAGTCTACTGCCGTCCTGCAGCACCCACTGCAACAGCCGGCACCAGACGCCTGGATGGAGAAGGGGACAGGGTCTTGAAACAGGAGAAGCTCCTGTGCTGGCTTCTGGGACGAATCCTAAGGTGTCCATCTCAGCGGAAAGCCACGTTCTGCATTCGCCGAGGACTCGCGGTCGGCAGCACGGCGTGTGGTTGTTCGTTTGGGGGTTTGTTCGAGCCGGCTCCCTGTCCAGTTTCACTGTAGACCTTCAACATTTCAAGCCCATTAAGCAATGCATGGCCCCACACGACTGACCCAGAATGACGTGCGAAAATTTGCTAATCTGAAGAGGTTTGAGTATAAGCAATCGTCGTTTCACGCTCAAGCCATGCATGAGAAACAGGAAGTAGCACACCGCTTCCTTGAAAACAAGACCTCGATGCTTTTGCCTTCTGGCTGGAACCGGCTGCTGTGCATGTTGCAAAGAGTCGCAGTACAGACGTGATGTTTCGTGATAAGACCGCAGATCTTGAATGAAAGGGGGCAGCTCCACGGATGGCAACGCCCGCAGTGTCATTCTTTATCATTTTGTGTGGAGGGGTCATCCCCTCTTCCTGCAAAACCGTGCGCAGCCCGCAGTAAGGCCCTGTAGTAACTAGTACACAGCCTCAAGACATGTCGAAACTCCGGGCCCATGCAGAAGCCAAGCAAACTCTCAGGACTGATCAGGGCCAGGCACTTACTTGCGTTTATGCGCTGCATTGCAGCATGTCAGAGATTTGCTGTGGGAGCTGGCTTGATGCTACACGGAAACACACACACACACACACACACACACGCACACACACACACACACACACACCCACCCACCCACACCCACACCCACACCCACACCCACACCCACACCCACACCCACACCCACACACCCACACACCCACACACCCACACACCCACACACCCACACACCCACACACCCACACACCCACACACCCACACACCCACACACCCACACACACCACACACACCCCCACACCCACACACCCACACACCCACACACCCACACACCCACACACCCACACACACCACACCACACCCACACCCACACACCACACCCACACCCACACCCACACACCCACACACCCACACCCCACACCCCCACACACCCACCCCCACACCCCCACACACCCACACACCCACACACCCACACACCCACACACCCACACACCCACACACCCACACACCCACACACCCACACACCCACACCCCCACACCCCACACCCCCACACCCCCACACCACACCCCCACACCCCCACACCCCCACACCACACCACACCCACACACACCCCCACACCACACACCCACACACCCACACACCCACACACCCACACACCCACACACCCACACACCCACACACCCACACACCCACCCCCACACACCCACACACCCACACACCCACACACCCACACACCCACACACCCACACACCCACACACCCACACACCCACACACCAACACACCCACACACCCACACACCCACACACCCACACACCCACACACCCACACACCCACACACCCACACACCCACACACCCACACACCCACACACCCACACACCCACACACCCACACACCCACACACCCACACACCCACACCCCCACACACCCACACACCCACACACCCACACACCCACACACCCACACACCCACACACCCACACACCCACACACCCACACACCCACAAACCCACACTCCCACACACCCACACAC